TTAAAGCTGAATCTTTTGCGAAAAAATCATTAGTTCCAATTTAAAAAACAAATTATAAAATTATTAGCTACTCTTTGGGGGCTCGACTCTTTTTAAAAAAAGGTCCTACTGTGGAACTATAATTGGATATTAAAACCCAATTTTGGGTTGTTTTATGATTTTTTTTAGCAAAACTTAATGCCTCTGCCTCTGACGACAATTACATTTTTTTAGAAGTTGTGTAAAACAATAGTCTTTCATTGTCACAAAATGTGACTGTAAAACAAAAAATCAGAACTAACTGCATTGGTTGCTTCAAAGCTCCGTGCTCTGAAAATCTCTCAAAATCTTAAATAAAAAAAAAGATTTTACATATTTCATATAATAATACTCGTAATAACGTAATCACATGTTTTTAAGTAATAAGTTCTGATTACTAACCTATATAAATACAACTACGATTTTTTTGCTTTTCAGCATCTGGTGAAAACAGCCGATGCAACAGACATTTTTGTTAAAGAAACAGTTATATGGACATCAAGAAAAAGTTTGCCGTATAACTTTTTTGATGACGAAGCTACATAGAATTATTTCAAATTAATTTCTCCAAATCTATCAATGCCAAAAAAAGACAAACTACGTTGTACAACTCTCAAATATTTCGAACAAATGCGTGAAAATGTAAAACAACTTTTACTTGACACTAGCAGTAAAATTTCTTTTACTGTAGACGGTTGGACGTCTGTTAACAGAAAATCTTATTATGGAATAACAGCACATTACATAGATGACAACTGGAAATTATGTTCTCTAACTTTAGATTTTTTACCATCTGATGGAAAACATACAGGTTTAGACATTGCAAAACTCTTTCACTCATCTATAGAATTTTTCGGTCTTAAAGAAAAAATTCAAGGCATCACCATGGACAATGCTTCTGCCAACGACATGTTTATAGCAGAATTGAAAAAACTTCTGAATCAAGAAAGCATTAGATTTGACGAAAAAAATAGCCACTTCCGATGTATGGTACACATTTGCAACTTAGGCGTGAAAGATATTTTAAACACTCTAAAAATAGAAGAGGTACGAACAGAGGATCATGAAGATGATTATAGTGCTGATGAGAACAATGAAGAAGATTCTGAGGAGGAAAACGATGCTGATAGAATATCATTTGTTGAAAAAATTAGTGGAATATTTAAAAAAATACGTAAATCAGAACAACTATGCAATAAGTTTAGAAGTTGTTGTGAAGTAAAAAGAATAACCTACAAGGATCCTCCTTTAGATGTATCAACTAGATGGAACAGTACGCAGGCAATGCTGGAAGTTGCTTACAGTATGAAAGAAGCTTTACAACTGCTCTCTGAAAATAATGCCGTTTTAAAGCGCTATTCTCTAACTGCCTATGAATGGATTTGGGTGAACAAATTGAAAGAAGTTTTAAAATATTTTAAAAATTTTTCAGTGGTTTTGGAAGGAGAACAATATCCTACCTTATCACTAACCGTTATAGCCTTTAATTTACTACTTGATAGACTGGAGTCATTCATGAATTCATTGAATATTGCTGACGAAACCGACATATGCTTTTATAATGCATGTGAAAATGGAAAAAGAAAAATCCTGAAACACTGTCAAAAAACTAACTGGATTTATTGTGCCGCTCTATTATTAGATCCGCGTCATAACCTACGGAAATTCGATCAAACTGCATGGGGAAAAGAGTTGAAACATTATTCAGTGGTATTTTTTGAAAAAGTTTTTCAGCAGGAATACTACCCCCATTATGAGGACAGTGACTACCCAAAACATCAACCTACAAAATCAACGGCATCAACAGACAACAATCCCCTAAGCAGTATATTGGCATTTTTTGACGACACCACTGCTAATTTGTCTCCAGCAGAATGTTGGAGAACTGAGCTTAACCGTTATTATACAGAACCAGCCCCAGCACCTACCATAAACATTTTAGAATGGTGGAACATTCATAGAAGTATTTACCCTAATTTAGCAAAAATGGCCAAAGATATTCTAGCCATACTTGCTACATCCGTACCTGTGGAAAGAGTATTTTCAAGGGCAGGACAAATTATGCGGAAAGAAAGAAATCGGCTCACAGCCGAAACTGCACGAAGTCAATTGTGTATTGGTTCCTGGGCTCATTGCCCTCATGCAAATAAAATTATGCTTTGATTTTTTTATATACTCGTAACATACTCGTTTTTAATTATCTTTCTCTGTTTTATATTTTATTAGAATAGAACTAAATAAATGTTTTTTTCAAATTATTTACATATAATTTTATAAAACCGATACTCGAGAGTCTCGGCATTTGGTCTCGATCTCGCCGAGAGTTTCGGCAAAAGGTCTCGAAAGTGAGTCTCGCTTATTTTCTGGTATCGGTCTCGGGTATCGTCCCGAATTTTAAGCGATTCCGAGACGAGAACGAGATTAGTCTCGATGTTTGCGAATCCCTACCTGAGACAGCGCGATACATTCCGCTACCGCAACTAGGAACTGCGCCCATCGCCGACACTACATGTTATTGTGTTATATACCTTCAATTCTATTTAAATGTTCAATCTCTATGACTCTAATATGAAATTACAACCGAACAAATGTTAAAGTTTCAACAAAGAGCAATTAACAACATTTAAATTCGCCACACACTCTTACGGAAATTCAACAACAAATAATTCTTAATTGAGATTAAATTTGGACATCAGATAATTTACATGATAGAAATATTCATCAACAAAATATTTACATGACCAAACTTAGCAAAGATTTATAAAACAAAGATCTGGTGTGAAATAAACTTGTGCAAATAAAATATCCTGTTAGGTCAAAATTGCAGAGCATGGAAATTTACGTTCAATTCAAATTATACAACAAGGAAAATTACTGAGGCTAAAATTGTGAGATAAAGAAACATTGTATGAGGTGAGACATTACAAAGTTAACAAATTTACATGAGATTAATAATAATTCGTGTCCAGTCAAGTTATTGGTTAAAATTCAAACGTGAAATTATTCAGCTACATTGTGGGCCATTATTACACATACATATCCCCAAAACACATAAACAAGAACATGGCAGACAATCTGCAGGTCCAAAATGGCGTTGGACGAATTCGTCATTCCAACTAATAGGCGTCGAAAATATGCGATGCAAAAATGCGATGAATCCTGTGGCGTTGTTATAAACGATGGGCTAAATAAAAGGAATAAAAAAAAAAAGGCACGTCCCCCCATGACCCACAATGTTTGTTAATTTGTTCAATAGATTCAACAGTTAAAACATGTGCTCGTTTAAAAGAAACAAAATGGACGCTTCAAAATGGCTGTTGCCTGAACAAAGAACGGTGAAAATAACAACTCGTCTGCCGCCATCCAAAATACAGATTTCACAAATATAGCTAAATAAAGCATGGCCCGAAATAAAAATCACTTCCTGTAAAGCCCTACTGCGACGGATTTTAAATGAAAGATAAAAAAACGAGATTAGTGGAAAAAGGCGCACGCGTCGCTGTGTCACGAGGTCAGAAGTATCGTCGGGACTTGAAACTCGCCGCAAAACAGGTGTTCAAAACATACCTCTCCAAAGGTGCGAAGATTTCGACACGGCTTACCGCCAAAAGGAACGCAAAAACCTCGTCGTAAGAACGATGCGAAATCAGGAACACCCAATGGCTCAACGGGGGCTGCTAGATTTTCCAATGGAACGGATCAACACTGGAAAAGCAAGAAAACAACAGCAAAGGCACGGAATAACTCACAGTTAAAAATACAACCTGTTGCTCGAAGCGCTCGAAGGAAGTCGACCGTTTGTTCGAAGCGATCAGAGGGAAGTGGGCGGTTTTACCCGAGACAAAACCACCCTCGCTTTGCGCACGTCTGTTTCTTTTGGAGAGGTTGGTTGCCAACCTCTTCTTCTTACCAACCGTTTCTTGTGCGCGCGAAATTCATTTGAAATTTAAAAATTCGAATTGGATTCTTACATAATGTTCTGTGTTTTTCTAAAAACTGTGAATAGTCGGCAGTTGTAATTTGTGAAATAAAAATTAATAATAATTTTTTTCTGTCTACAAAAATTTCACACCGGGCTAATCTGACGGGGCTGTTTTGTCGGGAGCTCTTTTGTTGTTGAGCTATTTTTACTAACGCCAACAATTGCTGGAATTCTTCTTTGACTGCAATGGGGATTTTCGTTAACCATTTCTAGATCTGTTTGTTTTCGGTTTTTTTACAAATTACAAATTTTGTACTTTCCGTCAAAGTTTGAGGTTCAGATTGTATGGGTCAACACTTCGAACATTTATTGCATTAGTAAAAAATAAAACGTGTTTTTATCTTCCAATTTGAAGTTTTTGTCAAAACTTTTGGCAAGTGTTAAGGTTACTGTGTTTAATGCTCCAATTGTAATTATAATAATATTCAAGATAGTGGTGAAAATGTATTTTGGGTTGCGTTTCAAATTTATTCAGGCTCTTTAATACTCGTGGACCAGCGTGTATAAACTCTCATATCAAAGTCGGCGTTAACTTTTGCCGCCTTGTCGAAACAGGAACTATAATCATTTAATCAAGCTGCTAACGTGACGTCAATTGATAGTTGCTAAATAATAGTAGAGTTTTAAATTTCCAGTGGTAAAATGATATGCTAATTAATGTTTAATGATATATTTGTATAAAAGAGGTACTGGATTAAACAGATTTTTTCAATTAAAAGTTAAATTCTGGAAATTGGAAAATTAAAAATACATAGTTATCTTTTATTACGAAACTATTTTTATGTACACTAACTTTGAGGAACTTATTTTTTAATGGACGATGTCCTCTTTTTGTTAGCAATAACAAAGATTGTGGTGACAAACTTTTGACAATGTCTTCCCGCGTCAAAAAAAAACATTCTCTTTCGCGCCACTATTCAAGAATTCGATGCAATCAATCTGTCACTTCGACACATGCATCTTTCTTACATCGAAACCACCTGTCACTGATTCGATGTAACGTCCGCCATCTTGCAGGTGCCCACAACTCCCGATAAAATAAAATTCAATTAAAACAATGATTTTAAACTGAACAAGGCTGTGCCGTGTTGAAATATAAAACTCGAATAAAATAAAACGCCCCCATTTACACAATTCCAGAGACGCCGATTCGCGACACCACTGAAAAATGGTAAGGAACACTTTTCAGGCCTGTCCATAGGTTAAAATCGGTGTTTTTAGAGCTTTTTCGGATTCGGACAATCGGCTGAAATTGAAATTTACCTGGACGGGCAAGAGTCGAGGAAAACTGCCGAAGTGAAGACTGAAGATGGGAAGAAAGAAAGACTTTTGTTGTACTACGATGGAGAGACTGTGTCCGGAAAAGTAATAGCAGTTTTAAGTTGCTTCATTCGTAGTGGTAAAGGTTGTAGGGTGTTTAACCTGTAGACTAACGCGGGGGTCTGAGGGGAAGTGTTGATCAAGTCAGAGGCCTAGTTTAAGGGGTGCAACAAAAATATTAAATACAAAAAAAATTCAGTGTGTTAAGGGACTGTTGCATAACAAATTGCAGATTTGTTGTATGTAAGTATGTGTGACTTAATTATGGTGTTCAGTGTTAAAACTGAAAATGTGCATATTTCTCATTAAACAGATGGTTAATTTAAGACATTTTCCATTTGCATGTAAAGAATTAACCAACGTGCAAATATTTCATCAACTCTTGTTTTTATTAAAATTAATTAATTTTTATTTTTAACTGAAAAACCATCGTCATACTTTTGTTTTTTTTAACTCTTTCATGTTGTGTATGCATGGCCAGCATGATAACAGACAAAAACAGTATCGAATATAGAGTGGAATAGAGAATTGTTTGACATCAAGCAATATTTATTGACTTACTGACAATTACAAATCTAATGCACTATAAAAATACGTTTGCATGTAAAGAAAGTGTAACTACAATAGACAGATAAAGTTTTACCCTTTTATTTCTAATACATGTTTATTTAAATTATTAAAAAAGTAAAGTTGCAAACACCTTTAACGTTGCGCCTCTGAAAAGAACGATTCACTCCATTAATGTTAAGAGCACCAAATTTTTAAAGGATTTTTGGACAAAAATTCGTTGGATATTTTCGGTACAGCACAACCCTCACAAATGTTCATACTAACGTCATAACTTCCATCATTTTCTTTTAAAAAATCATTAGATCGGCTTCTACGTATCAACGCGTTAGTGTACATAATTCATTATTCAATTAGCGTTACAGCAAGTATTGCGCATGCGCAGTAGGTCTGTTAATGTGTGACGTATACCAAATAATAGCCTAAAACTGCGATAACTAATTTCAAATCCTAACGCGTAGATTAAAAAGATGACTAATTTTTTTTTGTTCTGTACTTTCCTGCCTTACAAAAAAAAAATCAAAATTCAGCAAAAAGATTTGCAATTTAAATTTGAAACAATAAAATGGATTATTTTGAATTTTTGCAACTCTAAGGATGGTATATTGCCACCCGGAATTCTTCTATTCGTCCTATTAATTAAATAAATGTGAATAATTTTATTGATTAAATAAAATATGGTTTATCCAATTTTCTCAAAATTCTGGGAACACAACACTATTATTGATTTTAATGGATGTGTTGTCATAAAAAATTGCAGAGGAAAATAAATGTTGCCTAAATGACCCACCCCTTTTTTTATTTTCATAGTTCGGACAAATTCTACCATGCCGCTTAATAATTCGATTTTTATTTATAAATCTAGTTTACACATCATTATCTTTATAATTCACGTCATCGCGTGATATATAACTTGTTGAACTTCACCTGAACGATCTGGTTATTTGAAAACTTATATACCTATGAAATAATTTTGCCAGAAGTAACGCCAAAACACGTATATATTTTTTATGATAATGGGAATGTAGCAATGGTACCCGAAGTCAAGACTCGGTATGGCACGGTGTGTTATTTCCCCAGACGCTTGACAGCAAAACTGAATGACTTTAACATATGAATTATAATTAACGTAAAATAAGCGTCTTATAAAAATAGCACAACTACGGTTACTGATATAAACCGCAGACCCAATTTGTAGAGATAAAGATTGTGCTTCTAAAATAGGATAAATTTCATTGTAGCACCAATTTAAGTAATTTTAACTTTAAAACACAAAATAAAAAATGGACATTCGTCCGACGGACTCGATCATTGGACCTCCTTAGCTTACGCTCAGGAAGTAAAAATCTGAAGTCGTAGATAAAATGTTGTATGTTACACGTGGACAAATATACATTACGCATACGGATGTGACTAAACCGCTCGGTTATATATTTGGAAATTATATTCATACACTACGTCAAACGTTCTAAAATTGAGCACAGCCTGTCTGTAGACAATGTATCTTTAGTCAGGTCAGGTCTATATATTATTTTTTTCTCATTTGTAGCCTAAATGTTTAATATTTTTATTTATTACGTGGATCGTTTGGTTCGACAATTGTATTTTTGCATTTTAACTTTTATTTTACTGCCGAAGATATTTAGAAAAAACTGCAGCTCCGATCTGTAGTATCAACTATGATACAGCTGTGATTCATTCATTCGTTTATTCATTGCTTTCATTTATTATTGTTACACGAGTGACTAATAAAAAAAAGATAATGCGTCATATTTATACTAATTTGCGCATTAAATGACATAATACAAGAAGTTTCATTGTTAAAAAATTCTAAATAAATACTTGTAACTATGTGTAGGAGACATAAGTTTACCTGGTATGACTCTAGCCTTTTGTGAAAAAATTAATTTTGGAAGTTTTCCATTTTATTCTAGTTACATACAGGATGTTTACTAAATATGCGGCAAAAATTTACGGAATTATTTCTTGGATAACTTTAAGATTTTTTCTCCTTGATGATTTTAGGGAAAACGCTTTGTTTCGAAGGAACAAGACGATGAAAGCTTATCAAAAAAAACAGTACTTTATTAATTCTGTCCTCATATACTGCCGACCTTTTTCAAAAATATCAGAGTTGTTTCTAATTGTATAACACCCCTCAATGGAGTCGAGTTCATTTTCCACTGGAGTTGTTAACGGTACACTAAAGTTTTCAAGTATACCCTTAAAAAAACCAAGGAATTTAAGTATAGGGATCGAGTAGTAGTAAATCTTTCAGAAAATCATTGCAGAACAACATTTTTTTTTAATAATCCAATGAATAACCCGTCGCATTTTTGCCGCATGTTTAGTAAACACCCTGTATATGAGTCATTCTAAATGAACTAACTCACTCAGTTTTTTTTAATGTGGTGAAATTGTAGAATATTACAAAACATTAGTCGTTGGTATTAATTTTAACGTATCGCACCCATTTATTTTGTTGTAACTTTTAGTCAAAAATGATTTTGACAATTAAAAATTATTATTTTTATGAAACTGTATGTCTGTCTGTCCATCTGCCGCCCCGATTTTTATTAGCAGACTTCGACATTGCGGAAGTGATGCTCATTGTCATCCGATCGCCAGCGCTATTGCAGTCGTGGCCTACAACTTCAGGAATTCTTAATAACAATACTGCTTTTTCGCGGTTTTCCTCAGATGTTAAAATGCGTTAAAAATTAAAAATGACTGTTCAATATCACAATTTTCGTGATGATCTTGATTAGATAAACCCTGATTTGCCTCAAACGTCAACCGAGGTTGAGACTGCACTGCGTCGTTATTAATATTTGTCTGGTTGCTTGCCCATCACTTCGACTGTGCCTAACTCTGTGTATTACACAGATAACCTCCGAAAGTACTGGACCGATAGTTGTCACATTTTGTATTTATATTAGGAATATCATGTAGATGGTAAAACGCTAACCAAAATTTGTCTAATCATCCCACCAATAATGTGATGACGTCACTTCAAAATTGTACATAGTAAATGGATTTTAAATTGTATAAAATAACATAGTCCTACACATGTAGTTTATGGTTCCGTATTGAGTTTTTACCCGAAACGTGTCCAGATTTTTGGAAGAAAAAAATCAAAATTATAAAACAACATTTTTCAATTTAATTTTGAGTCTGCAAAACCGAATGTTTTGAAATCTGGGAGATGTTTTAAAGTTATCGTAAGCATGATAAATTTTTGATCAAAATGTATTTGCTCGTCCCCCCTAAAAAATTGACGTCACCTCAAAATTTTGCTGAATAAATCCTATCTTAAATGTGCAAAGTGTCTATACTTGTGATTTATCACTGCATTTATATTTTTTAGATTTGCTTATACGGGGTGTCTCAAAAAAATTAATGACCGCGTCAATTTATTATTTTATTGTTTAAATCAAGAATTTCAAAACTTAATACTTCGAGATCTTGCAGGCGTTTTAAAGTTATTGTGAGTATGATAAAGTGTTAATCAAAATATATCTGTTTATTCTCCCCCAAAAAATTTATGTCGCCATCTCAAAATTTTGCCAAATAAATTCTACCCAAAATATGATGAGTTTTTACGTGTGATTTATTACTGCAATTTATTTTATTGACTAAATCAGGACCGGCTCACTCCCTTTTCTTAGAAAATTTTGGGAATACAATACTGTTATTTTTAGTATTACACTGCACCAATCCAAGTTGATATACGTGTCCTTGTTTTTTCTTGCACTGGTAATACGCTGTGACTAGTATTATCCATGTTGATGACGTCGTCACAAATTTTTTATTGGTCAAATGAAGAACGAGTCACCCCATTTTCTCGAAAATGTGAAGAATGTCTTTATATAATAATGATAAAATAAGAATTATAATATTCAGAACATTTTGTTCGATTGTGGTTTAATTAATAATTTTAGTCCCGTGTTTTGAGAAGACAAACTCATTCAAATCAAACTAATTTCTACGAGATGAATTATTTTAAGTTCACCATAGTGAGTCATCAGAATCTGACAGCGGACTGTCAGTCAGTAGCGTAACATGCACACTTTAGAAATGGAGAGGTTTTTAAATTGCAAACAATAACAGGCAGAAACATAACTTTAAGTGAACTGGTCAACACGCTAGCACGAATGCGGATGAATCTATTAGGCACTAATCTAAACAGGTACAGGTACCCATCGCAGGCAGAAAAATTCTCTATGATAGATAAACGATGACGGACGCCTCTGAGGGTGCGCCCATTCGAAAATGGTGGATGTTTCATTGTACTTCAGGAGCGAGGGAAGTTCTGTCGAAACAACTTTCGACCAATTTTTATTTGAATAAAACGCTACAAAACACTAAAATCTTAACACTTTACGAAACTAAAAAAAAAGTACGTAAGGTGAGATCCACGAATTGCGGCGAACGTTATGTTAAAACTAAGAGTAACTAATTCTCAAAAAAATGAAGAGAGAGTAGAACAAATAGACTAATTATGTATATTAATCGATCCTTATTCGCTGTAGTTTTAGACGTTCTCTCATAACTGGAAATCTACAAATTTGTTACGCTCTTAAATAAAACTCAACGTTTTTTTAAACGCCTCTGGATCTGTAAGCCACCCGTTCGAACTGTCTAAAAATTTCTGTGGGTTTTCTTATTTACATGAAACCCTTAAGTTACTGGTATTGTTTTATTACGAGTGTGTTTAAAATGGATGATTTTCCAATAAACTGTCAAATTTGATTGTTCAAGTAGAAAGGTACTCAATGGACATGAATATTTAAATATAGTAATAACAATGATAATAATAGTGCTAACATTGTCTTTCAGGTGAACATCAGTCTGAAAAAACCTGGGAGCAAACTGGAACATCAGGGTATAAAAATCGAGTTCATCGGCCAAATCGAGATGTTCTATGACAGAGGCAACCACCACGAGTTCATTTCCTTGGTGAAGGAGCTAGCCAGACCCGGAGACATGATCGCGCACACGTCCTATCCATTCGAATTCAGCTGCGTGGAGAAACCCTTCGAAGTCTACACAGGCGCCAACGTCCGACTGAGGTACTACCTAAAAGTCACCATCATCCGGCGACTGGCCGATATCGTCAAAGAACTGGACATCGCCGTGCACACCCTCTCCAGCTACCCTGAGATGAACAACTCCATCAAGATGGAAGTGGGAATCGAGGATTGTCTGCATATCGAGTTCGAATACAACAAGAGCAAGTACCACCTCAAAGACGTGATCGTGGGCAAAATCTACTTTCTGCTAGTCCGTATCAAGATCAAGCATATGGAGATCGCGATAATCAAGAAGGAGACGACTGGTACTGGGCCTAATACCTTCACAGAGAACGAGACGATCGCCAAGTACGAAATCATGGATGGTGCGCCTGTCAGAGGCGAAAGCATCCCCATTCGAGTGTTCCTAGCGGGGTACGAACTCACCCCCACGATGAGAGACATCAACAAGAAGTTTTCTGTTAGGTATTTTCTAAATTTGGTGCTTATGGACACGGAGGATCGGCGGTACTTCAAGCAGCAGGAAATCACGCTGTGGAGAAAAGGTACAGACATGCTTTTTTTTTCAACAATATGCGTTAAAATTTCCCTGTCCATAATAATTAACTGCAAAGAAAATCATTTCCAATTTTTATTTTTTTTTAATTTCGGCCTCTTATAAAGTAAGTCCACACTGCAGCCAATATTGCCGTCAACCTTAGACACAATGCAATTAAAAAGCGTTTTAAGGATACTTTTTCAATAAACTTGAATAATCTATTTTCCTAATTTACAGGTGATAAAGTCCGAAAACCGAACCTCCAAAGCCCCGCCATCCTCGCAGGCACCCAGACGCTGGAAAACACAGCTCCTCAGGAGGACGATCAAGAGAAAACAGAACCTGCACAGAAAGAGGATTTTTTGAGGGCCCCCAACTCCCAGTCGAACGATAAACTCAATGCTAGTGACCCCTTTGATCAAAGAATTTCCTCTCCGACTGAAAGTCCACCTGAAAGTCAAATACAAAACATGACACGAGAGGCAGGTGACGGTCAGAATGACCCTGAAAATACCGAGTGATACAAGGTGGTTATTTACATGAATCGGACAGTCCTAACTTGATTTGTTTTAGAAGGAAGATTTGTGATTGAGGTTATGTAACGGGGACTTTGGGGCGTAAATGCGTGCACGTTTTGTAAATATGTAATTGTTATTTACAGTTGAAATTGGCATTCTGTATAAATAAGCAAATTTATTATTTACACATATAATTATTGTATATTTCTCATATAGGAAATAAACAAGTTGGAAAATTTATGCGCAGAGTGAAAGGGAATCAGGTTGCTGCGGATCGAGGGTGTCAATGCTATATTTTTTTCCTTTTTTAGAACTGCAAATGGGCTTAATGTTGTTATTTTCAGTTCATTTATCACAAATTTAAGATTTAATGTAACAAAAATAGGTTTGACAAAAATGAAGTATGTTGTGATTCACGTTCGCCAATATAAACTTTTGAAAAATAAAAATGTAAAATCAAGAAGCTGTATGCCAGGTTCGCCAACATAGATCCGCTTGTAAATTTTTTGCACACAAAAAAATCAAAATACTTCATTGCGAGCCTGTAATGTAATTTTATATGGAAATTAGAAAAATGTATATCATAATAAAATAAGCAATAAGCCTCTGCAAAAAAAAAGACACAAGACGGAGACAGGAGGGACAGGAGTACCAATATCATGAACATGTTTAGCTCCAAGTGGGCGAAATTCGTCCAAAAGGATAAAATATTAAAAGGTTTATATTTTTTGTATAAGATTTCAATTACATTTGTAAATGCATGCATATTATATCCAAAAACTCACCTAACCTTAAGCGAAGACTTTCACCTTTCCCGCCTGGAAACAGTATCCATACCATATACAGTTTTAATCTGGTACTCAATAATCATAAATGTCTCACGCATTTCTACACAATTCACGCAAAAATGATGAATTTTTACACACAATTAGAAGACTTCAAAATGGCGCTACTTCGAACATCCAGTGATCTCTAGCAGGAGTGCCAACCATTGCGCAAACAAATATTTCCAAGTTAGCGTAAACCTAAATATGTATATGTGTTTTGAACATGTGAGATTCTAAAAGCATTAAAATTAAGATAGATTTCCGTACCTACACCTGCTTTTTAGCAAAATATATTTTTTAGAAGAAACGTCAAAGTCATGTGGCGCCCTCACCGCCGTCTGTCACTTGTCATTCAATGCCCAAATATTTTCCCAATTTTCATACTTTTCCACCCTCGGGAGCCCCTTTGCCGTCACCATGAAGAAAAATCACCCTCGTAAACCCTCCAGCGGGCGTTGTTGTCGCTGTTCGTGTGATAGCCCCAAACACGTCGCCTCCCCCAAAATATCGAATATTGCCGCCGAAAGGCTGACAGTAAGTAACATTTCAAGTTTTGCCGCCTCCAAAGTCAAATCGTAACGGTTTTGGTGGTGCCACTGATCATTTCCTTGCAGCTCTTGCCGGGGTTTCTCTCGAAAGGGGTCAAGTCTTTGAAAGCTTCTCCAAGTAAGTTAACCACGTGTTTGTGTTTGTAGTGAGCTTTCCTTGTAGTCTCAGACCATGACGACAGCCCCGTGAACCCCCCCAAGGTGAGGCGCTCGTGGCGACTGTGCAAGAAAAATCAGCCCATGACAGTGTCAGGCTACTTCCACAAATTGATTGAAGATAAAGGGAAAAGCATTTTTCGAGAAATTAAGGAGAAATTGAGAGAAGAGGAGCCTGTCGATGAAGGATTCGAAAGGAGGATTTTCCAAAATTTACACAATTTTGAGCTGAAGGACTCGGAATTTTATAGGAAGGGGATCGAGGAGGAGGTGGCAGCTATTAATAACGTCCTGATAGGGGAAGGGCGAAATATGTCTAATAGAAAAAGGGTGTACAATGAGGAAGATAAGGAAAATTATCCAATCAAATTCCCCTACGTGCCTCCTTCCAGCTGGGTTTTCCAGACCCCTCCAAATCGAAAACTCAGCTATAATCATGTCAAAGTTGATGATAAAGGAATAAAGCCCGCCGTTATTGAAACCCGCAATGAAAAAAAGGTTGTGTATGAAATGAACAAGAAGATTAATGTGGATCTGACTGGGTTCAGCAACAACCAAGAAATCAACATTGACAAAAGATACATGGTGGAAGTCGCAGGGTCTACTTTTACTGAAGAAGAAGATGACAAGGTTCGAATTTTTTTTTTAAGTCGCTTTTGCTAATATTGCTCTTCATAGATTGATTTTCTCCAGAACGACTCTTTGGAACTCGAGAACCACTTCCTTAGCCTCACTTGTCGTCCAAAGAAGGTCACCACAGCACTGCCAAGGTTTGCTACACTTAAAAGAAAACGTGATATTTTTGAGCCTCAACCAGGTTGTTCGACTGACGCAGACGATTACAAACCGAACGTTTGTTTTTTGGATTCTCTGAACTTGACCAGTTTAGAGGAATCGTTCACTTTCAAATTTACAAGTAGTGATAATGTTGAAGGGTCTACTACAGGACATCTCTTCGATTATGATGGGAATAAGAAAAATTCGTTCAATTTTCGTTTCTAGACTGACTGCGTATGTAAATAGGGAGAGTTTTTATTTTATTTTCTTATTACTTTTGTGGTTTTTCCTGTGCAATCGTTATAATGGAGTTTTTCGATGATTTTATCGTTCCTATGCAATATTAAATTAGATGTGTTCAATTGAAGAATATTTAAATTTGATTAATTTAAACGATCACTCGTGATTAATTACTATCTTAAGCAAAACTGTTGTTAATAAAATACTTTATCCCAAAGAATGTGTTTATTGTAAAAAATTTTACTGTATTAATATGGCAACGTGGAACACGCAGATTGGCGGGAAAAGTGACGTATGGTACAGTGGAGAAATTAGGAACTAAATTTATTTCGCGCGTCAAAAAAAGCCACCTACAGAAACAATTATTTATTTTTTTATATATATATATTTTTACACTTTAGATTTATCCCTAATAACTAAAATACTTCTTTTGAAACGTCTTTGTCAACCATGTCGCAAGCACGTTGCGTCCGCTCTTAAATAGTCACATTTACGTTATAATTGTATCTAACAGCTTTGATCTAAACCCGCATTATGAGATGTTCTACGAAACGAAAGCCGTCATAAGTACAATAAAAATATCACAATGAACCAATACTTTTTCCGGTGTGAATTTAGCGAAGATCATCTCATAGTTGTTCCTGGAGAAAACTAGTGCGCTATACGGTTTAACAGCTGCTCAATTCGAACAAAAAGAATTCTCAACACCTACGATTCTCTCATTTGTACATTAAAAAGTAACTCGTGTGGAAAAGATAAGAGATGGTGCGAAAAACACTTAGACTTGGCAATATTCGGCCGTAAACAATAAAAATAAAAAATAAATAGTAAAGCGTACTCTAATAAGTAGTAAAAAAAGAACGCCCTGTGTACGCAGGGCCGTAATTCTCCGACTAAACAACAAGAATCAACAAGTCACTTTTCTAAAATCCGCAGACCACGCCCCTCTCTTTACACATTCTTATTTACATAGAGATTTTTCTAACAAAATAGATCTCGATCATCGATTTTAGAAAAGTAAGTAAGGAATTGTAGCTTCATTTGGTGGCGGCTTACTTATTACTCTTATAATATTGCTGCGTTGTCGATGCTGTTCCGGCTCGGAATCAAGGGGCTCAGGGTACCGGCCACCTTGTGGCCTCTTTCCATCTCGTAGTGCGTGTCCAAGGGAATACCTACAACAATAACTCGTTATAAAAGACACTCGACAACGCCGCAGCAACGGTCGCTTACCCACGCAAGCTTTAATCGTTGCGTAACGTTGAATGGTAAAAATTTATTGTAAAACAATGATTTTATGTCAAACAAAATGGAAAATCGTCTTTGTCTAAATGTAAAATTCATGTTAGTGGAATGAATACAAGAAACCAGTATCAAAACAATGTCGGTAAAAAAATACTTAAGCAATGGGCACTTAAAGTGATAATATGAAGTTGAGATTCTTTTTTGTGAACACAAAAGATAAAGCGTGAGTAATTTTTCAGTGACAATAACTGGTCATAACTATAGAAGAACATAAACTCATTCTCATACATATTACCTAGATTTATTTTATGATCTGTGTTTTAGGGTGTACATAGTGCAATTACTAATTCATATAATAAAATGGCAATTGTCAGTACTGTTTGTAACGGTTACAACTTGCGGTTGACTAATTCCTAGAAGGTGTGCAATGGGGGCAAGGTCGTGTTAGAGGGTAGGAGGTCAATATCACTGTGAGTACAGTACAACGTTATGATAGTGTTTGAATACTACGCAGAATTTATTAGTTTCTTAGTAAGTGTGGTGCAGCATTCAAACTTTTTTGAAGGCGTATCAGTCCATTATACTTAACTGATTGATAGTGACTTAATAGGGACAGCGATAATACATACAAATTCATTAGTTTATTACGTTAATGATGACATGATGCGTCAACTTTCATTTTATTCATTCATTTATTTTTTAAATTATTTAATCAACTAACTTCATTAAGTATTTAATCTAAATTTCAATTAACGTAATGCGTTGTGATGAATTTTCCTACACAAACAGTTTTCATTCATTGCTCCAAAAGCGCTGTGCTCTTCAAAAGAGCTTTAATTACCTACTGATACTAGTGATCTATTTCTCATATTGTAAGACCATATAGAACAATAGAAAACAATCTAATAAATTAGAATTACTAAATGGACAAACAGTGCGACCAACTTAATCGTTTTTTGAGTATGAGGATGATTCATATTTTAAAGTCCCCACGTGTTATCACATTGCTATAAAATTAAGTTTTCAATGTAACACAAAAGATGACCACACTAATAGTCACAATTTTGGAAGGTGAGTTACCACAAAACTTAACCTAATTTTTGGGGTAAATTGCGGGATTGAGGGATCTTTCACTATATTAAACACCAAACAATCTAAAAATTAGCTATGCTTGTGTGGATAACTCGGCGAAATGGTACAACCATTTTCTCTGAAATGTAATGAATTTGTTTACTTACTCGACTCCGTGCTAGACTTCGTCGGTATAAACGAGGCCACCAACAGCGCGCAAATGACTAGAAAAGCTCCAAAAACGAACGGTGGTCCCGGCACCAACTGCAACAATAAGAATTAATTGTTAACAACACATAAGTAGGAATAATTTATTATAGAGTGGAAAATCGTTGGAAAGTCTTGACTTTTACTTTCTGGGGGCAAATAAGAACCAAAAGTGTTTATTGGAAGCTCTCCTCAATAAAGCGCTTAGGATTATAGTAATGATAATTTACAGCCTTGACCCTCTCACTGGAAGGAACAAAGGTGCTATGAATCAGACGTATGTGAACACATTTTAGCATGCAAGCATTTTAAATCATCGCTCTTATAACCGTGGGCAATTTAAAAGCTTTCAATAAACACTTTTGGAAATACAAACTCAACGTTCAATAATTCCTAGCTTGTATTACGATCGTGTCACTTTGAGAATTGCGTAATTTTGTTTTGTCAACGAGTAAAACACGAAAATGCAGGTTTCTCGCCTATTAATAATACGTACCAACAATTTTACAGATACGTCTCAAAACTGCAAAATACTTTAATTTTGGCGCCAGTACTAACCAAAATTTATCTAGTCGTTCTTTTCAAAAATGGATAATAAAAGATTTACATACTAAGAAAATACGTGCAAAATTAAAAAAAAAAAAATTTCAAGGAACTTTCCTCGCCTAGTTCTGTTCAGTCTAATGGAAGTCATTTATGGTTATAACTTAAAATTATTTTCAAATATATATACAAATTTTCCATTTAAAAGATACACCAATTTTATCTTTTTTAATAGAGGTTCCTATAAATTTTTCCAAATGAATTTTTATAGAAGGAAGAAAAAACAATAACGGATACCAGAGCTTCTTCATCGACAATTTTCAAGTTCTCTGCAAATGTTCATATTTAAAACTTCAGAGCTCTGCCATTTTTGAAGATGGAGGTTTGGAATTTTGCATAAAACTTGTTAGACATATTTATGAAAATCGAACAAGGTTTACACTTGTTTACAGTTTATACAGGGTCATGAAATTTGCAAAATGTCAATTTTCTCAAAGTTTTCAAATGGAACACCTATATATTTCCTCATTTTCGAACTCGTCTCTAATTAAGCTTTCTTTTGATGCCAGATTTGTTAGTTTATTTTAACAAATAATTCCATTATTAAAGATTAGGAGCCCACCCACCCGATCTCAATTGTGATGACTCTTTTTATTCGTCGTGAGCCAAGAAGGCGGAGCTTAACTGCAAAATCCTTATTTCTCTCCGAGAAAATAAAAACATGTTTTTGAGTATCGTGATGTTAAGAAAAAAATAAAGCCAAAAATTAAGCCCTACCCATAACCGCTCCGATCTCAATTCTCAATTGTGATGAATTTTTCATCCGTTGTCAGATCCAGGGGCGGGTCTTAATTACAAGATCGATATTTGTCTACAAGAATTCACCATTTTAAACATTTTTAAGGTTTTTGTTCTGAAAAGACGACTACATATATTAAGAAAAAAGGCAAAATATAAGCCCCGCCCCCCGCCCTATTTCAATTGTGATGATTTTTAAATAGTTGAGAGCCAAAGGAGCGGAATTTAATTGCAAAATTCTTATTATTTCTCTACAAGAAATTACCATGCGAGACATGTTTTTGAGTATCGTGTTATTCAAAGAATACTAAGTAAATTAAGAAAAAACTAAGCCCCACCCATATCTGCCCTGATCTAAATAGTAATGAAGTTTTCATTCGTTAGCAGACCTAGGGGCGGCGCCTAATTGGAAAATCCATATTTCCTTACAAAAATGTACCATTTTAACCGTGTTTCAAGTTTCTAAGAAAAAAATCATTACAACTGAGATGGGGCGGGTGGGCGGGGTATATATTTTGCCTTTTTTTCTCAATATACTTAGTATTCTTTGAACAACACGATATTCAAAAACATGTTTTTCATTTCTTGTAAAGAAATAAACACATATTTTGTAGTTAAGCTCTGTCCCCTTGGTTCACGGCGAATAACAAAAATTATCACAATTGCGAGAGGGCGGGTGGGCGGGCTTACATTTTTCCTTTTTATTTTAATATGTGTAGATTTTTTTTCCCAAGGCTCCGCTCCATAATTGCAAAATCCATATTTCCTCGCAAAAATGTACCATTTTAACCATGTTCTAAGTTTTTTGTTGTGAAAAGATGGCTATGTATATTAAAAAAAAAAAAGCAAAATTAAGCCCCGCCCACCCGCCCATTCTCAATTCTGATGATTTTTTTTATTCGTGGTAAGCCAAGAGGCGGAGCTTAATTGTAAAATTACGTTTGTTTCTACGAGAAATTACCATGTGAAATGTGTTCTTAAGTAATCGTGTTATACAAAGAAAACTAAGACCCGGTTTACAGAACGCGAAGTTAAAGTTAATTCGCGATTAACTTTTAATTGAGGTTCCTTGCTAGGTAACGTGAATGTTTTAACCAATCACGGGCTCATATTCCACATTTTAATCCTCTGTTAAATTAATCGAGGATTAAATATTTAATTCATTGTTCTATAAACCGGCCCTAAATGTATTAATTAAAAAAGAAAACCAAACGAGAAGCCCCACCCATCCGTCTCGATCTCAATCGTGATGAATTTTTCATTCGTTGTCAGACTCAGGGGCGGAGCCTAATTGCAAAGTCGATACTTTCCTACAAAAATTTACCATTTTAAACATGTTTTACTTTTTTTGCTGTGAAAAGAATATTAAAAAGAAAAAATGGCAAAATATAAGTCCTTGTGGTTGTAATATCTAACCTGCATAAGTACTGACAGAAAGCTGCAGTGTAGAAAATTATGGCAGCTATTTAAAATATGAGGGTTTCGGTGAACAGGTGGACATCATTTTCTCTATCAAAATTTGATTTTCGTGGAATTAGTGCTGTCAACCAGAAAAATGTCCCCTTATTTCAAGGGATTTTCCTTCAAATTGGAAGCACGGCAACGTCAACCTTTGCTTTATATTTATCTTGCAACGGCAACGTCAGCGGCAAGTTTATAAATCGACCTTAAGAAAATGTAAGTGGAGTGTAACCTTTAAAAAGTTCAGTGTTTTTAACTTTTTTTTTTGAGAAATAATTTCTGTTCGTGTTTAATAACAATATATCAACCAGTGTGTAAATAATCAAGAAATACATACAAGTTTTCTAAAACACCGATTTAATAACGAGGATGCTTATATTTGGTCCGTGTTTGTTCTAAATAAACCCGCACGATGAATGCGGAACTGCACTTCCAAAAAATTTCTTGTGAAAATAATTCTCCACATTCCCTCCCACTCACCTGCGCATAGCTTTCATCGTGCACCGGCGTCGAGTGCGTGCCCTCCTGTCCCTCGCCTTCGTTCAGATCCACGTGGAAAACGTAAAATATCAAGCCAAACATGGCCGGCCCTAGTCCGTTGCAGAGCCCCCGCATCCCCGTCACCATTCCCTGCACCACGCCCTGCCTGTCCGGGGTGCTGACGATCGAGACGAACGCCGAGATCGCCGGATACGTAATCGAGCTCATCGACGCCAACATGCCCGCCGCCCACATCATCCACGTCGTCGTGCCGAAGCCGTACCACAGCAGCTGCAACATCTCGAAGAGCAGACCGAGCATGATCGTGTGCTTGCACCCGAGGTTCTTCATCAGCGCGCCGAGGCAGAGCTGCGCGAGGACGGCGAGCAGCCCGACGAGGCCCACGAAGACGGCGACCTGGAACGATGGATGTATTAATTGCTCAGTTAAGTGATGTGTGAAGGAGAGAGAGTGGGCTGGACCATGCTCAGGATACCTTAAAACGTTTGCGAAATTTTCTAACATTAGGTTTTGCAGTTATATTGAGAGCGGGCCACGGAAAAGATTTAAAGACAGTATACACGAAGATCTACAACGAATAAACAGCGATTGGAAGAATAATACACATATAAAAAGAAGTGGAAAGAAGAAGGCAAAAAATGCAAGTAAAGAACTTAAAAGTGCAATAAAATATATTAAAATGAACTACGTTAAAAACTATAGCACATTATTATTATTAAACTGCAGAACTATTTAAATATCTAAAGAAATAAATCTGATATAAGAGTCACCCAGACAGACTTCAATGGAGAACTCGAAATCGGATTACGTAGGTAATAAAGATAAAAAATTGAAGTTTGTTCAAGGTACTTCATGTTTATCTACATACATAACTATTTCTGTCAAGAATTATCAAAGAAATTTATTACAGCTCATTGCCCTTCATAAAATGACGTTTGTAATTTCTAAATGCCGACTACGAATTTCATTTTTGTGAATTTTTTCGAACACACGTAAATTTTATAGATCGAAGATTTTTACCAGAGCTTGTTCGGGCACTCTTGGCCTAAATAACACCAATAGGTTATAAAATTTTATTAGTGTGCAAGAAACTATAGCAAATAAACACAGAGAAGTGGGATCGATACTGACCATCGGTGCGCTCCAGCCCATCACGAGTTTCAGGTAGACGAAGATGCAGCTGTACTGGCCGGCTTCTGGTAGGTACGACAGGAACACGGTGATACACAGGAGGAGGATAGTGGGGTCCTGGCCGACATTTCGGAGGGAAGAGAAGGGATCGGCCTGCTCCCAGCTAATAGGGCTGACGCGGACCTTCTCAGGGAGGCTCTCGGGGACGGCGACGAGGATAAAGAACACGTCGAGGATGGCGACGGCAGTGGCAAGGGCGACGACGAGTGAAACGGACCACCTGGAGAAGAAAAAGCAAATAGTTAGAACTGAGCAGTCAATGTGACAAGGCTTCAAGGGTAGTTATTTAAGCACGTGGTACAAAATCTGGTTTATTTTATAAGCAGGGAACTTTCTGAAAACAAGAAGTTTATATCAAGTGTATATCAAATTTGAAAATAAATAATGGTGTAACTATTGCCTGAACGAAATGTTTGATTAAAATTCAATTTATTTGAAGAAATAACTTCACAAGTTGATTAATTAATTAATTACTTAATTAAGCTACAATGGAACAAACGGTCTAAATATTATTTTGGGTGAAGCGCTGTTATTATGATAATTATTTTTTTATTATTATTAAATATAAGCGGGCGCGGCATTACTGTATTCTTAGATTTTTGAGAAAATAGGGTGGGATTTTTTCGGAATTTATCTGTCTCGAATTAAACTTGACAAAGACGGAGGACAGACGGAAACGATAGACCAATTGTTTCGTAATCTTAGGGTCATATAATGTCCAGAAAACATGAAAGTAACCATTCGTCGGATGAAGCCTATTACAATACTTCTTTAGCTTACGCTTGGGAAGTAAAAATGTATGAATCAACTAAAGTTTACAACTTTTTCAGCATTTATCCAACTAATATGTCGTATTATTCCAGAAACCATATTTTCAATGTCCTTAAAATTTTACATTTTACATACTTTTACTATTTACCATATTTATAAAGACACTCAGAAACTTGGAAAAATACAATGTATCACTTTCAAAATCGAATTAATCTGATAACTAGAGATTAGAACAGTAAATTTAAAAAAGAATAAATAAAACATTTTTTTCCGATAACCTCAATTACCAGAAATTAAAAATAGCATACTTTGTTACATAATAATTGTTCAGTAATTTATAATACAATTAACATTGAGAATTAGGTCCCTAAAATTAAAACTAAACATGACATGCCACCTGAACGTCATAGACATAATTCACGTGAGAATAAATTCAACGATACACAACTTTACAGTAATATTTAATTAACTGTCACTTCCGTAATTTTTCGAAATAATAATTGCACTTCCGACACAATTAATTCGCTTTGTGGTTTCATGGTCACGTCAGACGTGAAAATCACCAGAAACAGCAAAAATAATAATCTAAACAACATAAAACCACAAAACAATGCTCGATATTAAACCTAAAAAGCTGATAAGAAATAAAACTTGTCAAATTATAGCATATTTGATTTGCAATTTGCGTTCATTTATTTCGCTTTATCGGTTGTGAACGCTTACGTTCGACCATTTCATGGTTTCTTACACCATTTAAATTTATCAGGGGTTTTTAACACTATGCTAATTTACATTTAACTTGAACAACCTTCGGTCGATTTCAACGTATGTGTCTGGCTCCTTGGTATTTTTATCAGTAACGCTTCCGGCTAAACACTAATGACTTCAAATAATTACGAATTCTTAAAATAGGCTTTGTGAAACAGGGCTAGCAGCCAATGAAGATACAGAATTTCAAAATTTTCCTAAAAAATGGCCACTTACCCATCTTGCATTACTGATTTCGACTTTTTTTAAACGCAAATAATTATTCTTCAGTTACTTTTAATTTATGTTATCGCAGTTCTGAAATAAAATTTTAAGCGATAGTGGTAATGGTTTTAAAGTAATTTGAGATCACTCAACTGCGATTAAACACCATTATAATCCCTTGACGTCACAAGCGGCGCTGTTATATTCCGATCTATAATTTTTTCTCAAACTCCGTTCTTAAAAAACACAAATGGTTTCACAACTTTACAAGTATCAGACGAAAAGTTTTTAATTTATCTCCATGTCAAGCTTGTTTAAGAAACAGATGTGTAACAGGGTTGGACGGGCTTTATTCGTATTAACTTTTTTGTTTACTTAAAGTTTTTTTATTATGCTTTGAGTTTTCCGTTGTAATTTTATTTATGATTTCGTCATAGAAAAATTAACACAATAAATTACACTCCTGCTCAAATATAAATATACCGTAAATATTGGCGACGCTTGAGTTGTGGTACTACATGTCAGTTTATAAAGCAGCAATTTGATATACTAACGACATAATAAAATCCTAAAAGCAGGAAACATACAGAAAAATAGACAATTATTTATTTTATTTAAGTTATATTACAAATTACAACAAATGTTGATGCAATTACACTGACTACTAACGAAGTAGTAAGTAGAGCAGCTGGAGGTGTTTGAATCTTAATAATTTTGTCTTTCCATGGATTTGATCTCCGTTTAAAGCGTAGAGGCGAGACGCTGCATAGAGTAACAATAAATCCATTTAAACGACCATTATCCAGGACAAACCTAGCTACACGTGTCGCCCACTAAGGGCCGGTTTATCAATGCGCAGTTAAGTTAAAGTAACTGGCAGTTAAAGCTTGTCTGTGAGTTAACCTGTTTATCATTACCCGTTAGCTCAAAACTGGTGGTCAAAGTGCCTGATAAATTAACTGACAGTTCAAACTGTCAGTTAAAATGTTATCCACCAGTTAGTGGCAACATAACCTAACAAATCCAAATAAATCTGTTATGAATTTAACAATATTTTGATGAGGACTTATGTTGTGCAACAAATTGACAGAGAAAAGATGAGAAAAACACTCATTATTAGCTGATAATTTTCCAGGTCTAATGTGGGTACCAAAAATTAAAAACCTAATAATAATAATACCGCGAGATCGAAAAAGAAATTAATCAAAGTAGGCCATGCACGACAAGCCGTTTGTCGTAATCACGGTGGTAGGGTAATTTAATTTTTTTATTAAATGTCAAATTGACAGTTTAGAGATTAGAATTATGACGCCTACTTTCAAAAAACACATAAGAATGAATTAAAATCACCGTTTTCCAATTTTGTCTAAAATTTATCCCATTTCTGAAGATTCTAATAACAAAAAAGCTTTAGTTTCGTTTGATAACAGTGCAAATTACTTTTGTCACCGTGACGATTAATCAAAAATTATTTTAAACTAAGACAAACGCCTTTTCGTGCATGGCCAACTTTGACTAATTTCTTTTACGATCTCTCTGTATTTATTTATAGGTGTACCTACTTGTTTCATTTTTAATTTCCAATACTTTTTTTCTAATGCTAAATTTTGCTTTTTCATGATTGATCACGTGAAACACGATATACAATCGTTGAATACCGAATGCGGATCGAATCTGACGGAACTTTCAAGGTCGGGGTAGTTTTGAACTGACCAATCACAACTCATTTCCAGTGGGGTGAGCGTTACCAACTTAAGAGAGTAACAGCTAAGCTAAACCTCGAGCTACGAAACTGGAAGAAACATCGTGCATTGATAAACACTTTACCTCCGTTAACTGCTAGTTACCCTTATCTGACAGTTACTTAACAGACACTTTTAACTGAGCATTGATAAACCGGCCCTAAGTCGGTTCGCTATCCTGCTAAGGCTATCTCAAGACATAAGTATTGAAACTAAACACTACAATTTGGTCCTCACTATTTGTGAAACGGAGACCCACAAATCATTCATTGTAGTAATTCTAATTCTAATATTCACTTAAAATGTTTTTCCCAATACACTTAATTTTTGGTAATTAGCTCACATTAGGAATGTAAAACAAGTTAAAATGTGGTACATATTTATTTTTCTTATTGTTATTGTTGTACTGCTTCGCCTGTGTAGAATACAATACCGGACGAATCTTGGAAGTATTTTTCTTTATAAATTTACAAATACATAGAAACACAAAAACTGAAATTTTTGGTAGGGACAAATATATGTATATATTTAGAATTTAGATTGATATGTTTGTATGTATTCCTATATATTCAGTGAATAAATACCAATCTCGACGTTAATGTTTTATCGAAATTACAGGAAAATTAGATCATCGAGGCAAAGTCATACATTCATTTTCTGCGTAAGCAGTTAAACAAAGTTAAAGAATACTGTTGAAAAAAAGTGATCCCATCCTAAGGTATATTTTTTTTACATTTTTTTTTAATTTTTTGGATGTCATTAACCTTTTAGAGGGGATGTATAAATAAAATTTATTTAAGTTAATGTGCTGCAATCAATAACATCAATATTTGTGTCTGACCACAATAATAAAATTTTTATTAATTAATAATGAGTAATAATTATTACAATGTCGACTTTCATTGCGGCTATTTAGTACTGGTACACAAACATTAAATTGGGAATTACAGTATATCAAATATTATCTACGCGAAACATCACAAATACCAGTCTACTATCACGAAAAAAAAATTAGAACTAAATCAAAACTCTACTCCCGTTTCCAGCACGAAAATAAAAATCGAAACCCACTTCTGTAAATGTTTCGAGTATGGAGGGCCGAAAACGATAAAGAACGCTTTACTATGATAAAACAAACGAAAAAATGGTAACGGAACATGCGATTATTTCAACATTATAACAACGCTCTTAAAAACTTGTGTTTCGGGTAATAAAAAATAATACTAGAAACATTTTCTTCATCATTATTGTTATCTTTAGAGATAAAATATAAAAGATCGAAGTGGGTTTTATTTTTAGAAAATCTGTCACTGCATTTTTAATAAGAATTTGTCGTTTCCTTATTTAACCAAACACTATTTATCACAATCTAAAAATAACATAAATACGAATTAATATATCATCTGCTTGATGATGATGAATTGTTCAAAGTGGTCCCTATTTTGCTGCAAACACGTTCACGAAATTTCAAAGCCAATTTGATGTACTGTCTTTATAATCAATATACCCAATGTATTACCTTTATTTATAACTTAATCACCACCGTGTATATTACTTTGAAAAACCATGTCGTATGCTTCAAGTGGCATGATTTTGGAACAAAATCAAACACTGGGTGTCTTTACATGTTGTGTTGTTTTTTTAATCATCTCAACATAGTGAGCTGCAAATTTTGTAAATTATGGGATGGAAGTAAACAATTTTGGAAATACACTTAGTTTTCAAAAGTTTAAGT